TTGTGGAAGGAAGGCCTTTTTTCGTTGGGATGCCCTCAAGCCGACGCCTCAAGCGACTACGCGGCACATCGAATTTCTTCGCGACGGCTGCAACTTTGGCGTCAGGATGGTGATCGAAATAATCAATAGCTTCTTGAACGCGTAGTTCAACGCCGCTTATCGCAGCCGGAGGTGTTGTTGGCGGCATTATCGCGAAAATAACACGAAGCTGATGAAAAGTGGCCGTTGTGGTGATCTGGCCGTTGTGGTGATCTGGCCGTTGTGGTGTCCAGCACCACCTTATGAGAGGTGGGGCGCGGCACGAGTAGAGTGTTCACTGTGTTTTTAAATTAATTAGATCGCATCTTGTTCTGTCATGCCTTCTTGAGGAATGTGATTTCTTTAGTAACACTGCGCGTAATAGAACATACCGAGGACTTACGGATGGCTTAAATGGATTTGGTGGAAAGCAAAATAAATCTTTCACTTGTAATATTAGATCCGTTTGGTCCTGCAAGCCCATTTATAGACATGTCGTAGTTGCAGCGCAACGAGGGGAGAGATGTCAGGAGCAGCGCAGCTACCACACGCGGTGCAAAGGCTCATGCAGGGGGATCAGCATCCGGGCATACGTAAGGGAGGTCACACAAGCAAGTCACTAGCGAACCCTAGTAGAACCCCCTTGCGACTTCGAAGTTAAGCTTAGACTACGGCTATAATAAGATATAATGAAGGGAGGAAAAGCCTGCGAGGAGCTCGTCAGCAATCAAACCCGTCATCTACGGGTCCCTGCCTTTCAATTGATCTTCTTCGTCATCTCAGCTTCTGTGCTGCAAGCACGCAGCGAGTTCTCAACGCCCTCAGGCCCGCGAACCGGCCTTGACAACAGATCACTCCACAACGCCAACAACAAAACCAAGGCAGGCATTTGGGTTAGCAAGTGTAACTATGAAATGCCCAAAAATAAGCATGGATCTAGAATCGTAATTCTATACACGATCATCAGTGCCAAAAGACATACTACTCAACCACTCCGACAATTCAAAACCCGCACGTTCCGTCGTAGTAACAGAGAGAAAAGCGTGTGCCTGGCAGTTAGCTTCCATCGTAGAGATTCGCCCATCCACCTCATAATCAGCGAAGCAGGTGGCACAAAGATCCACATCGACGCAGGCCCGGCATATTTGCCTTGCCATCCCAACGCGAATTTGCCCACGACAGCCGTCGCAGATGATTCCACCTTCTGATTGAATTTCATAAAGTTGGAGGTTCTGACCGAAAGCCTTAATAGCATCACTGTCCTTTCCGACAGATAACAGTACTCGACCAAGGAGGCCAAACAGAGCGGGGAAATGCATGCCATACTCCCCGCAGAGCGCCGATAGCGAGCCGATCTCTCCGATCTGAACCTCTTGACTTGGTGAAGTCTTTCTCAAACTTCGATCTATACTTCCATTCTCGAGGAACACTTGGTAGCGCTGACGGTGAATTTCATAAAGGCACTGGATAATCTCGACGTCGAGTCCATCTCCGCTGATCTTCAAGATACGGTTATAAATTCCTGCAGCTTCGTCGAGGTGTCCTTGCTCCTTCCGAATACGACCAATGAGGCGAAGAAGAGCAAGAGTAGATGGGTGAGCAGAGCCAAATAGAGACTCAAAAGAGGATATAGTCTCCTGGCAAAGCTCTCTTTCTTTGTCTCCAGGTGCCTCCTGAAAGTGGTGAAGAAAGGCAGCGAATGATAGCTGCGTAGCATTTGAGCAAGCGATTTGTGAATGACTATGTTCGGGTCCACGAGCTTTCACCATCTGCATGTAGGCGATTTTCGAAAGAGAAGCAGCATCGTCAAGCTTGCCTTGATCGCCTAGCGTAGCAGCGAGGTTGTTCATGGCTGAGATGGTGTCCGGGTGCTCCTCGCCCAGGATCCGCCTCCTCTTGTCAAGAACCTCCGATCTCATCTCGGCCGCCTCCGCCAGCTTGCCTTGATCGCCCAGCGTGTTGGCGAGGTTGGCTATGGCTGAGATGGTGTCCGGGTGCTCCTCGCCTAGGATCCGCCTCCTCTTGTCAAGAACCTCCGATTTCATCTCGGCCGCCTCCGCCAGCTTGCCTTGATCGCCCAGCGTGATGGCGAGGTTGGCCATGGCTGAGATGGTGTCCGGGTGCTCCTCGCCGCGTAGCATCTGCATCCTTGAGAGTACTTCCTGCCAGATTTTAAATGCTTCCCTCCATTGCCCTACTTCGACGAGGAAGTGGCCATTCTTCTCCAGAAGATCCAGTCCAAGTCCGTTGTCCAAGCTTTCGGTCGGAGTTTTTACTGCTCCCTCGAAGTTAGCCATGATGTGTGGGACCATCCGTTGTCGAGAGAGCGGATCTTTTCCGCCGTTCTGTGTCATAGTTAATAGAAGCATAAGGGAGCGAATCATATATTCACTCCGCTCCTCCACCGACAGCCTTTCAAAAATCCATGCGTGCACGAGCTTATGCATGCTGTAGCTGTCGTCGGATATTTCCTGGAGAAGTCCGTAAGAGAGAAGAATTTCGAAGCATTCCTCAATCGCATACATATCGGGAGCACCATCCTCGAATATGCCGTAGTGCCACATAGCACTTTCC